CAGCTCTCAAGACGCATACAAGGAATTGCACTGGAGGAATCCGTCCGTGCTGGCAGATGTGATGCCTCTGGGACTGGTGAAACCGTATCCGTGTCTCAACTCCACTCCCTCATCCGGATACCTGTGTTGAGGGGGATACACCCGGGACTGGTGTCAGGTCTTGTAGATGTCTGTGATTTTTCTGGGGAGGTTGGAGCAGGAGTCACCTGCAAGTCTTTGCCTCGGAGATGTCCTGAGCCTCAGAGGAGCCTCCAGCTGAGCTGTGCTGTGGATCTGAGCTGTGCCAGTACCGAGGGGTGTGTTGGAAGCCTTCCTGTGATCAGAAGAGTTCCTGTACATCGCAGAAATGGTCCTTCCTGACCAGTGCCCTGCAGTTTTGCAGGATAAACTGAATGTCTCTGCTGAGTTCCTGCACAGAGTGGGGTGATGCTCAGGAGCACTGCAGGAGGGGAGCCCTGCACAACCTGTGATTCCTTACACACTGTAGGAATTTTGTCACATTATGGTGGCAGAACATGATCAGACCCTGTAGAGGGATGTGTCAGGCTGATACTGTGTTGGGAGAAGTGTTTTCAGGTAACCTGCAGGCCACCAGTGGGACAGTCAAGCAATTGAGGACCCAGGGCTGGCCCCAGCGTGAGGGTGGGAAATCTTGTAGTTGGAGAAGAGTAAGAAAATCTAATGTGAAGTTCGGGAAAACCACCACAACCGGTGAATTGAGACCAGAACTGTTTTTAGACTTTCTCCCATTTTCCAAAACACTGTCATGACAGAAGCTTTGGGGAAGGTGTAGGGGACGGATGGGACCAAAGCAGTGTTTGGTTTCATCCGTTGTGCAAGGGAATGCAAGGCCACAAAAGACTTTTTTGTGTTCGTATAATCAAGGCAAGGTCACTTTGTTATGGTTCTCAACCAGCGTTTTAAAATACTCAGACAGACCCCAGTCCTATTTGCTAAATTGTTTGCAAAATTAGTTTAGTTTCTTAACAGATACTAAGGGGCGGAGAGGGGAATGGGCAGGCTGTGGTGATGATTTGGGGTGTTGTTGCAGTAAGAGGGTAATTCAAGCAGCAATATTATATTGGGGAAACAGTGTTTAAAAAGAAAATCAGAAGGTGTTTGTGTAATGTTGACTTTGTTTCCATCAATTTGTACATCTTCGCTTCAGACTGTGTATCCCTCTCTAGTGCTGTAGGAGGAAAAAACAAAAGGGAAGAATTTCCTGACTTAAGAATAAGGCCCGTGTGTTATACCAGGAGTGATGTGTTCCCAGGAATGACTCTCTGGCATTGGCAAACTGCATCAGGTGTATTTGTCTTTTTTGAAGACATACTTGCCTGTGAAATAGCCAGTGTTGGTGTTTGGTTCTCTTCGTGTTTTAGCTATGAATGGAGGTCGGTTGCACTTGCCAAATATTTCAGATTGCTGGCCCATTTCTGAAAACATCTCTTCTAGTACTTGATTTGCATTTGATTATTATTTTCTATGCTGCATATTTGAATGTGCTTTTTAAAAGCAGTTGGAAGTGCCTAACTTCTCTATTCCCCAGACTATATTTTGAATTAATAATGTAAAAAGGGCCTGGTAGAAACTTTGCCCTTTCATAACTCTGTTATACTTGCATTTTTAGAAGATTTGGATAATTTAAATACATTTATGGTGTATTTTAATCTTTAATGGCGTTTGTCGACAACAACCTGTAGTTGTGCAAAAGTTACATGTGTTTTTCTGGTCATTTAAAACTGTCATGTTAAGCTCTGTCTTCATCACATGGTCACCATCTTCCCATAGTTTGGGGACACCCTGTTTCTCCCATCCTCTGTAAAGCTCAGAGCACAACTGATTTCTTTGGCTGCCTGAGACTTAAAAAATTCCTGGGTTCTGCCATGACCTCATCACTGGGGATACTCTTGATCTCTCCAGCTCTTTACTTCCAGTACCTTATTTTTGAAGCTTGTGGACTTTCCCTTCACATTTTAAATTGGATACGGGCTGTTGGAAAGCAAACTGCAACACCCCTTTGGTATAGCAAAGTTCACCTGGAATTTATTAAAGAAATTTCATCAATAAATGGTGGCCATGGGGTTTGCAGGTTGTACAGCCTGTAATGCAGTTTTACTTTTGTATTGACAAAATGATCTCTTCCTCACTAAGCACAAATGTGAAAACATCCAGTGAATATCAGTTACTCATAAGAAACTGGATTGCTCTGAAGTTAGTGCTATTCTTCAGAGCAGTCCAGGGTTAAAAAAGCAGAGCAGGTTTTAAAGAAATAAGCTTTCAATGTATTATTTTCATTGGAAATGTTCAATTGCTACTTTGGAAATCTTAATGTATATTTTTCAGATGTCCTGAATTTGTGTCTTTGTCTTGTGAGGAACTTGAGGGAAATGAATACAGACAAATTATTTCATAAAACATGTGAAATGGCAGTGGATTGACAGTTAAATCTGGAATAGTGAATACAGTCAATTTTCCCCTTTGTTCTGTCAGCAGTCACTTGTACTCTAAATGTCTATTTAATTTTTTAAGTAGATTAACGGGAAATGTTTGCATTATTTGATTACTGAATTTACTTTCCCAAATAATATATCTTTTCTTCAAATATTTACGTGATCTTGAAAATGTTTTTCCAGAAGGGGAAAATGCTAAAAATGAACGGGGAACATATTTTGAGTTATTTGTGGTATAAGTGCATAATGCTTTGCCAGAAATCATTGTACACTTGCCTTTTGGTGGGGAAAAAAAGCAGTTTGTCATCTGTACTGCCTTCCAAAATTAAATTCAGCTAATCCCACCTTTTTGAGCAAATAAGCAGCAGATTGGTCTTAAAGATGAAATTCAAGTAGGCTCTTGATATGTGATATAAAAAATAAATAAGCTTAATATGTGAGCAACAGAGAGCATCTCAGTGATAGATGATAACACAGATTACCTTTGTTGTGTTCGTAATTAGGGTGGGCAGGGAAAGGAGAGGGAGAGGGAAGCCTTAGGAAATGCTTTTGTTTAGTCCTGTGTGGTTGGTTTTGTTGGTTTTGTTTGGGGTTGGTTTTTTTTTTTTTATTTTGGCTTTTTTTTTTTTTTCCCCTGCTCTCCGTGCGCAGTGCACGGATGAGGAATTGTATAGGAAATTTGCAGCTGCTCTAGTTATTCAGGAAGATTTGTATAAGCTGGCACAAGGGACAAAATTAGAGGGAAGTTGAACGAGTGCCGTGCGCTTTATTAGCTTGGCAGCCATAATTTTGACCTTGCTGTGGGTTAAAGGACACAGACCTGAGAAGAAATCTGTTTATCATGTAGGGAATTCATGCCATCCCTGACAGTGTACAGTGAACAAGATGGATGATCTGCCAAATTGGTCCCTCGCATGGGTGAATCAGGGCAAATTTACTGTACAATTCCTTTGCTGCTCCCGATACAAAAATAACGTTTGCGGGGGTTTATTCGGTTGTGTGATGACCCAGGGTGAGCAGAGAAAAGAAATAGGATTTGCAGGATGCTGATTACCTTAAAGATTTATATGCACCTCGCTTTCCTTTATGTCTGCCTCTTTTGCATCTCTCATAAAGCACTAAGGAAAAAGTCAGATTTTTTGGTTTGAGAGAGCAACTTTGTGTGAGTGTCAGGGAGCCTCTTGAATGCAGCATGTGGAAGCTTCCAGTACCCTGAACAAGAGTTATTCTGTGCACCTTGCCTCATTTGAGTCTGATTTTTACTTCTGTAGTATTTCCCCTTGGTGTTTGGGATGTTTTTCCATACTGTGTGTTCTGTAATTATTTGACATTGATAAATATTGATAAACATTCTGGATAACAAACAAACAAACCGAAAAAAAATAGTGAATTTTGCTCTCAGCCATTGCCATGGCAGTGATGGGACTGGATGAGGGGAGAGAACCCTCTCACAGCAGCACTGCAGGGCCCAGTAAACACAGTTTTGGAGGAGCCTGGCCTCATCCTTGTGCAACTGAGAGCTCTGTAAACTTCCTGCAGAGAGCTGGAGACAAACCCACTGATGGATGAAGCTGAGATCCGTGAGATTAACCGTGTCAGGTCAGGAGATGGGAGACAGCAAGGAGGAGGAAGCAGCTCCACAAAAATGGGAAAGAACTGGATGGAGAAATCATGAGCTCTTTATCTTTTGAGGGGAATTGTTCTTGTAAACCTCGTTGTCTACGTGTTGTTGCTTTTAAAAATGTTCAGACTGTACCCTTAGGTGTCTGGATTCTCTGGATAAGCTCAGTCAGTACATTCTGTTAGAGATAAATTTATTGGGGGAAAACATTCTGTACCGAACCTATTGTTGTTGGCAAATTAACAGATTGGGAAAGCTTTCTTTTAAACCAAGTGTCACAATAACAGATTTGGGTGTCTCCTGATCCACTCACTATCTTTATGTTGGATTCTCAAACGTGTTAATTAATACAGCATAATTACAAACTGTGTTTTAATCTTGTTATTTCTGGACAAAGAGAATTGCAAAAATGTGATGCGTGTGATAAGACACAAAATGAAATCAATAACACTCTCAAGATATAGAGTTGTATCAGTTGTAGAAAATCCCTCATTGGCACCGCAGAACAGTGGCTCAGTGAGTTTCCTGCAAGTCACAAAAGGAAGCTTAAACCAGTCCATAATGGCAGCTTTAAAAGCATCTTTATATAAAAGTGGTGTGGCAAGCAAAACTGTGAGATTTCCTGACCAAGGAAATTGCTTGCAAACTTACAGACTATTGCACTCCAGTTTTTCCTGATTTTTATTTGTATTTGTACATCTTGTCTTTATAAGAAATCAGAGATGACTCAAGATAAAATTAGAAAATAATTCTGTTTTTAAGAAGAGGTTTTTTAGTACCCAAGTCATAGCAAGTAGAATTTTGCATACTTAGGCATTTCTTTAAGTAGGTAGAATATAAATGAGAAGGAAAGTTAAATACCCTGCAATCAAAACATTACAATTATGCTAAAGCGGGGCCTTTTTTCTCTTTTTTTTCAATTACAGAAAGTACTCCAAAGACTTCTGCCAGTTGCAGTCCTGCTCCTGAATCTCCCATGAGTTCCAGTGAGTCAGTGAAAAGCCTGACTGAACTGGTACAGCAGCCCTGCCCCGCTATAGAGACAAGTAAGGATGGCAAATCCCAAGAGTCCAGCGAGCCGCCTGCTTCCGAATCCCAATCCACGACCCCTTTGCCGCTGTCGGGCCACTCGGCACTGAGCATCCAGGAACTGGTGGCCATGTCCCCCGAGCTGGACACCTATGGCATCACAAAGAGGGTCAAGGAAGTGCTAACGGACAACAATCTCGGTAAATCGCTTTATTCTCGTTTCTTGACCGAAATAACGTGTAAGTGCTTTTGGTTTTGAGCTGTAGTTCAGTAGATGTTTACGAGAATACTCCGGCCTAAGCTTTAATTTGTGAAGAAGATATTTGGGGTTTTTTTAAGCTGGTAGAAAAATCCTTTCAGATTGTCACACTCTACTTAAAATGTCATCACACCCTGGCTCTTCCTAAGCTCTGCTCCTGGCTCACCAGCCAGGTACTGCTCCCACCTCCCAGAATACATTCCAGCAGGCTGTCAGGACAACCAGAACCCCAAAACCAGTGAGAACTCTCTTTGGAAAAAAGGCTGTTTTCCCCATGCTTACAGATTCAAGGCCCAGCATTTTGGGCACAGGTGAGGTAGAGAAGCCCAGCATGGTTGGAGAGGGAGATGCATCACAGGCAAAAGCACAGTGTTACCCGTAGAGCTGGGAGGGTAAATCCAAACTCAGCTGATGTTTAGATGAGCCAGTAGATCACTGCACTGGGCCATTCAGTTACTTTGCTTAGAGATGTGCAAAGCTGAGTCTGCTTTTGCCTACAGATGAGTTTTGGGGTGTTGAATTCATTGTCATGTTGACATGACTCTGTGTGTGGAATAGTCAAAGGGAATAACCTGATCTGAGTACAGGAAGTCCACGTTAATTAATGCTGCCACTGTGCCTCTAAATTACTGGTTCTTCATATGTCTTTAACACTTGCTTCCCTCACAAGGCTTTGGGAAACCTTTAGGGGTCCTTTGAGTCTGTGGCAGGAGGGCAGCAAGGCTGTCCCAGTGTTACCTGCTCCTGCTTCTGGGGCTTAGCAAGGGATTCATCTCACCCGCTGTTAGGTGTTCAGAATAACATCTGGGACTCTCCAGAAGTACCAGAATTCTCTTCACCACAAATGGGACCAAAAAGATAAGTTTACATTTAGACTGACAGTGATACTTAGGTGAGAAGAATTTTGTCCATGTCATCTGAACATTATGACTGTAAAAGCAAAAACTCCTCTGTTTTAGTATGTAAGGAAGCCTTTTTTTCATCTAGACACAGAATAAATGTTATTATCTCAGATTATTTTTCTAAGGGGAAAAGTACCAGGAGGGGGGAGATTTCAAGTTCTCATTTAACATAATTTGGAAAAAAAAAAACCACACACCAAAAAAAAACCAGAAAATGGCCTTGATCATGGACATACCCTGCATGAGATTGTGTTCCACTGAGCCCAGCAGAATTCCTTGTCCATGCACACTGGCATGGGCACATGGTGGTTCCTTGTTCAGTGGAGATAACATAGAGATAAAGCTTTAAGTCATGGTCAGGGTTTGCAGGTCTAAGCCCCTGGTTTTTGAGCAAAATGCTGTTGAGTGCTGTACCTGCTCTGGTGTTCCAGAGAGGTTTGAAAAAGTATTTTTGTTTACATTTGCTTTGATGCCATTTTTACTTAGTCTTTTTTATTTCCCATGATTTTTGTTTTCCTACAGTGTGGCTGACAAGCCTAAAAAGCAGCAGAAGAGCCAGGAAATGTGCCCCAAACTCTGCATTAGGTGTGGAACCAGTTTCAATGTCTCCTTTTGTGCCCTCAGTGTGCTAGTGCACCAGATTGACTGGTGCACAGGTTTCTCTGTCTCAGGCCACGGGGCCTCGTTCAGCTCTTACCAGTCGGGGGAATGGCTTTAAATGGAAAGAGAGGTTTAGATGGGATAATAGGAAGAAATTCTTCCCTGTGAGGGTGGGGAGGCCCTGGCACAGGTTGCCCAGAGAAGCTGTGGCTGCCCCATCCCTGGAAGTGTCCAAGACCAGCTTGGATGGTGCTTGGAGCAACCTGGGCTAGTGGAGGGTTCCCTGCCCATGGCAGGGGGGGAGCAAGATGGTCTTTAAGGTCCCTTATCACTGGATGATGATTCTGTGATTTCAGCAAACAGTGCTGGCACTGTTAACACTGAGATGTTGCCCCAAATGTCAGAGTGTCTTCAGTGATTCCCTTTTGGGCAACATGTAACTTAGAGAGGGAAGCAGATGCCCTGAGCTGTTGTAGGATTACAGTGGTGGGTATTTTGTAAAAAGGGCCAGGACTATCCACGAAACCAACACAGAAAGTTTTGTCCATCAGTGGAACAGGCATGAAGGATGAGGAGAAGTTTTAGGAAACCTGTGCTTAAAAATATTCCCACTATTAATAGTGCTCTGATGAAGATGGAGCGTGATACACCTGCTGCCTGCTGAGGATGATTTCTAACACCTTCCCCATTAGCCTGGGAGGCTTTCAGGTGTTTTATCCCCTCCTGCCATATCCTGGAATAAGATAAATGACATAAACATCTTTAGCTTTGTTCTTAACACCTAGAGAACATGATGTTACCTCCTTCCACCTTTGCATTTTTAATTTTTAGGGTGTAGTTTGAGGTTCATTTCCTTCAGCAGCACTGTTAGTACCTGATCTGGGCTGCTCATTCCCAACCCTTTTGCAAATTTGTGCCCATATTCCTGTTCGTGTGGCCACACAATAACAGATTTTTAAAGTAGCTGTCTTATCTTGCTGGTAGCTGGCAGGTTTACAGGGAAATGGATGAGGCCTTAACTGATGTTTTTAAACACAAACAGGGAGCAGGTTACCCCAGCAATACACGAGATAAAATTGGCCTTGAATTACCTCTTTTGTCTGATTTTCCTGATACTGAGGGTAATGAAAAATCACTTATTACTTAGGAACTTAAGTGAATTCTGCATGTAGGTTTCTGTTCAGTCTGTAAGAACCATTTTCAGTGTTAGTTTTAGAGCTTATTAGCAGAGTGTCATGTTAAGCCCTGTCTTCCTTTCCCCTCTCTGCCTCTCAGCTGCTTCCTCCAAAAGCTTTGCAGACCCACCTGCCCCACTCTTCTAAGTGGGCATTGTGCATCTTCTAACTAGTCCCACATTCCCTCTGCTCCCCATACAGACAAACAAAAATCACCAAAAACAGTCTTGGGATGTTTTTAACAAGAAGGAGGAGGATATTCTGGAGTTAAACACAGGGAATAGGTCTATAGAGCAGGTATTTTCCATGACCTGTTTGTGTCAGGATCGGGTGAGGTTGTGAAGGCAAGAGCTGATGGTGTGGGCATGTCCTGCAGAGCTGTAGGGTCGTTAGCCCCCACTCATCCCTGTTGTCCCTTAGGAATCTGTTGGTTGGCACTGGCTCAGAGTGCTGGGAAGTGAAGGGAAAGTGTTCTGTTGTGTGTTAGTGAGGGCACTCAAAAGCTACAGATCAGACACGAGACCCCAAGGCCCAAACTTGGGGGGTATGGAAAGATCTTTGGGTTACCTTGAGATTCCATAATGGCAGGGCTTCTGTCTTAAATCACCTTTGGTGACTCAGATGACCCCGGGCTCTCTCTTGTAGCACAAGCTGTTGGGATCAAGGCAGTTCAGCTCGGGGAGAACACTGAAGTGAAGGGGTTTAGAAAACCAGCTCTCTGGTTGGGTTCGAGCTGCACAGGGATTTTCCCCAGTCCTTGATAAGATAGACCTTAACCATATAAAGTCAGTGTCACCAGTGCACTCACAGATGCTGTGCACTGAAAGGCATTTGCAGATGTCACCCTGATAAAACGACAGCATTTTGAAAGAGAACTAAAACTAAGTATCCTGAACCAGAAGTACTGTAGAGGCTGGAAAAAAACCTGTAATACTGTAAATTGTGATTATCTCTGGTTGGTGAGACAACAGTTAGAACCCCACAGATAGTACAGCACAGAAAATACATACACGTGTCTGTGAGGACACTGCTGAAGGTGGGGGGGTTGCACTGCTCTTGGTTCATTAATCGCTGGAAATGTTTGGATTGCCCTGTTGGAATGAAGCTGTGGCACTGCCCTCCTGCATAAGAGCTAAGGAGCCTCACTGCTCTCACTAGTTGCCTGCTTAGCTGGAAGTTCAGTTCACTTTTCAGCTCCTTAATTTTATTTTTTGCACACTGTTTCGCTGTGAGGTCCCGGTCCCCAAACGTGTGTCTCAGGCAGATCCCAAGGATTAAATTAAAGCTCAATATTTACCCTTTTAGTGGGGGGCAGAGCTTTTATCCTCCTAAATGTTTCTTTTGGGGTTTTCAAGCCGTTCTGAAGTAAGAATAATTGCCGAGCGGTCTCGTAGGACGTGTTCTTTTCCGCGAGCCCCTCGGCTGAGTGAACTCACGCGCTTCTCGATTTCGTATTAGGTCAGCGTTTGTTCGGGGAGACAATCCTGGGCCTGACACAAGGCTCTGTCTCAGACCTTCTGGCTCGCCCGAAGCCCTGGCACAAGCTGAGTCTGAAGGGACGGGAACCCTTTGTCCGCATGCAGCTGTGGCTGAACGATCCCAACAACGTGGAGAAGCTGATGGATATGAAACGAATGGAGAAAAAAGGTAACTCGGGGCACGGTGCTGACTCATGTTTTCCGTTCTCTCGAAGATCAGCGTGTCTTTTAGAACTCTCCATAAATAGTAGAGAGGCAGCATTGATCCAGTATTACGAAGGTTATGCAAAAGGACTTCGTGGCAGCTTTTCCAGAGCTTTATTTGATGCTTGCTCAAGCAGATACATCTCAAAAGAAAAGAAATTTAAAAAAAAAAACAAAAAACACAACAACAAAGCCGAACAAAAAAAAAACAACCCCAAACCCTGAATATTCACCAGCTGCTGGGAAATCATTGCTATATTCTCCTGTAGATTATTACTGAGGCCCTGGGGTAGCACTGATAACTTGCCTTACCAAATGAGAAATGCAAGTTTGGGGCTGGCTTTGGGTTATTAGTTAATAGTGCTGCAGCTGGTCACAGATGTTGGGCTGGAAGAACTGTGCATTGATTCCTGAGAGAGCTTCTTGCCAGTCCTGCACTGATGGTCTCTAGGAGAAAAGAAAAATGCAGCCTTTATAAAAGGGTATTTGAGAATAATTATATTTGTAGCCTTTATAGGGAGGGGGGAAGGTGATTGTGTTAGTACATGCTCACATAAAACAAGGTCATGAGGGTGGACCTGTGAAGGAATCTGAGTTGTTGTTGGGTATCTTAGTAGGGAGCATATCCTGCACATTTATCCTACTTCTCTCTATTTGAAATTCCTTACTAAAGACCAGTGGTTATTCAGAGCCCTGTTTTTAGTACGTTCGTGTGATTTTCCAAGAGAGACTCAGAGGCTGCCATTATCAGCAGTTAACTAATTAATGATATATACATCTCTCGTGCTATCCCTTAATGATATTAGCACAGACATCATTAATCGTGTACACTGAAAGCACTGCTGTTGACTGATGTTCTGAAAGCATTTACACATTTGATCAAGAACTTGGTGATTATATTTAAAATTGCAGTGAGGGAGCTTCTGGGAAAATTACAGTCTTGCAGGCTTTTAAGAAGAAATTCAAATCCTCGTCACAGTGTAATATAAAGCAGTGCAGTATCTTATCACAGATTGTGAGTGATCTTCCATGGGGAGTAAAATCCACTTGGGTTTCTCACCTCTGACTGTAAACCAAAGGGAACCATGAGGGGTTTTGCTGTATTAGAAACGTGGCAGAAATAAAATTGTCAGCTAGCTGGATTTTTATAACCTCGAAGAGAATATTGCCCATAATGCAGGAAAATAAAATCAAAATAATTTAAAAGTAGTGTTGACAATATCCTTTCAAAACTATTTTCTAAACTGGATTCTTATCAAACAGTGAGCGATACATATGCTCTGTAGATGGTACCTGAATAGAGATAAGGCCATAAATCATTGAGACTCTGCACTGAGCTCCTGAGCTGTTCAAGTGCTGTCCTCAGAGCAGTCTGAAGTGAATTCAACCCTGTATTTCCTGCAAAATCCTTTCATGCAGGTAAGGATCCTGTGATTTAACCTTTTAAATTGCTCTAGAGCCACATTAAGAATTTAACTTTCCCTTCAGCTAATGTCAGTTAAAGAACAATGCGCCTGGATCTGCTTCCAGTGAAACATTATTATCAATTATTTCTCTGCCACATTTTATTAAGGGAGTAAATTAATAATTATGATAAAGGTGAGCTGCATATATCTTTTTTTTTTTTTTTCTGTTCCACCAGGCTGAAGTTTGTGCTATAAATGTCCATTTTAAAATGGTTCTGAAAATTTGCAATGTACGTTAACCACCCTCTTTGGAGGAAGCCAGGGGTTCAGGCTCACCAGGCTGAGAGACTCTGCACACCTTTCCTGCCTTGCAGGAGTTCATTCCTCTCATAACCTGCCGGGGTGTGTGTGCTGCTGGCAGCATCACACTCCTCACAGAACAGTCCTGAATCCTGCTGGCAGGAGAATATTTAATTCCCCTCATTTCCCCATTATTTTGCCTTGTAATAATCTTGTTCAATACCACGTAAGATAAAAATTATGTTAAAAGGGCTCTATTTTACCTCAGTGGGCAGCTGCCACCTCTGCAGTGGTGTCTGTGGCACCTGTAGCTGGGCACATGGGGATTCTTCCCAGAGGGACATGGGGATGCTGAGGGGGAAAAAAGGTGTAACTCAGGGGGTTTGACTGGCTTTGACAGGTCAGTCTCAGACCCAGATCCAGACCTTTGCCCAAATTACATCTGGGTTTCTTTTTTTTTTTCATATGTCTCCTGAGAAGTGGAGACTGGTCACAGACAAAAATCAGGCTTCTCCAAAAATAAAGTGTGTTTGCAACTTGGATTCCAGTTTGAGCCTTGCTGTCACTGCAAATGTGCTGAATGATCTCCTTATGCTGTCTACACACAGCACATATGTTTGAAATAAAAATTAAAATGGAAAAGCTCTTATAAATGTCATCTGAGTTTCCAGAGACCAGCATTAAACCCTAAATAAAGCCTGGGTGCTAGTTCTGCCTTTGGCCCAATGGAAATTTGTTCTGATAATTGATTATCCCCCAGAAGACAATTGCTGCTGACAGAGAGGTGGGGACACCCTCCTCTTTATTTTTATGTTAATGAAATGTGAGCATTTATAGAATTTGTTTCATTCCCACGAGAGCAGCTTAAATCAGCCACTGCACCTTTGGTGATCCCAGTGTGAGGTTCCAGGAGCAGAGGTAGGGATGACATTTTTCCCAAGCTATCACAGCTCCAGGCTCTCCTTTGCTGTTTAAAGGTGGAAGCTCTGCCCTGCCAGAAGTTCCATCCTTTGGAGAGCAGTGAAAGCAGAGATTCAGCACATCCTGATCCATGGGTGTCTCATGCTGACTCAGTTGCCTGACCAAATTCCAGAAACTCCAGTTAGAGATACCCTGAGCACCTTTTTACATCTTCCATGCCAGGTTCTGTTTTGTCTCATGGCCTTCTTGAAGTTGCTGCCCATTGCTGAGGTGATGGATGTTGTCCTCCAGCCTCTTGGTTCTGCTATCCAAGGAGACAAGGGAGCCTTGTCTGTAGTTTGCATGTCAGTGCAAGTTGGAAATAACATCTAGGAAGGAGTCTTGAGATTAAAAACCTTATAGAAATGTGAGATTCTCTTGCTGGAATGATTAATTCCATGGTAGAAGGTTGTTACAGCTCCTTGAAGGCTGCAAAAATAAGGCCGATGGGTCACCTTGAAATAATGCAGAATCTTTGCTGTTCTGCATCTGGTTGGAACAACTTCAGTAGGTGGGTTTTTAAGGAAATTTATTTTAAAACAAAAACACTTCGGTTTTTTATGGTTTTTTCAAACGTGTGCAGGACTGTATCACGTCAGAGTGATGGATCACGAGCATCTCACATTCTGTTCCATGCCAGTGATCTTACACAGCAGGCAATCCACAGGTAATCTGTCATATTCAGGAAAAACAAAATGCAGGCCATGCAGATACCCCCAAAGGTTACAGAGTTGCTCAGAATTCACTTCAGTGATAGTAAGACACAGCGTAAAAGGTCCCACTGGAGGTGCCAGCGTGTAGAGGACACGATGCTGGAACCCACTGGAGCCAGAAAACCCGGCCAGTCCTGGAGGGAGCTCTGCCAGCAGAAGTTGGCCAGTGTGAGCAGGGCTTTGAACACTGCAGTTTATTTGATTGCATTGTATTTTTATTCTTTGTGCACCCTCAGCTTGAAGGCAGAGCTGTGGGGAGAGAGGAATTGATTTTTTTGAAGAATTTGGTTGCTGACCGGTGTGACGTGCCCCACATTAGTCCCTGGCTCCAACCAGAGCTCCTGGCTCTTGGAGATTTAGTGCCTGCTAGATTGATGTCAGGCTGGTGTAATCTGGAATTTAATAGCCAAGGTTATCAAATTGCAGCTCTCGAATACCTAAACTCTTAAATATCTAGAAGGTATTTAACAGGCCATTAAATATTTTATTGACAAGATTCATCTATATTTGCTGTTTTCAGCCCCCTCATTAGCAATGCTTGTGCATGATACTGCCAGGTGCAGTAAATCCCACCTCTCTGTGCCTGGTGTAAATCAATCAAGTCAGTGACAGCGTTTGCTGGGACTCTTTCCTTGCGGGATTTGCCAGGATAATTCACTCCCCGTCGGGGAGGAGGGTCAGTGGCAGGATCACAGCCTCGCCGAGCTCCATCAGTGCAGTGAGAGCTTTCTTGAAAGTACATGTGTTTTGGAGGGAGCTTTGTGTAGGGGAGGAGGAGGGTGCTGGGGGCTGGTTATCTTTCATAACCTGTCACTGCCGTAGTGAAGAGCTGTAGGAAAAGGCAGCACAGCCCATCACTGGGATCTCTGAGCTCCAAGCGCCATCGTGTGTTGGAGATGGTGTGGGAAGGCAGGAAAGGCTGCCTTCCACTTCCATAGTCATATTTTTCCTTCAGAGACCTTAGTGTTAGAGAGACCTTCATGCACATCTGAAATGTTTTTACCACCAAACTCGTTTCAGCCAAAATGAAGTGCGATTGTCCTGATCAGGTGCTCACATGGGAGTTCTGCTCTTGAAAGAGTGAATTTGAAATGAGTCCTGTGAACTGAACCCTGTCATTCGTGTCCCACGTTCGTTGAAAAAGCAGAAGACCCTGGCAGGTTTCCAGTTGATCTACCCTCTTTTCTGCTCTTTCTGCCTCTTGCATCCTCCCTGCATTTGCTTTCCCCTGGTCTCTGGTGATGCCCCGAGTAGCCCATCCGTGCATCTACAACCTGTCACCTCCGTGTTTATCCCGCAGCTCGTGCACTCATTGATTTTGCATTTGTATTCAGCCGGGGCTGATCCAATGTGCTTCTCTTTCAGCCTACATGAAACGGCGACACAGCTCTGTCAGCGACAGTCAGTCCTGCGAGTCCTCATCCGCTGGCATCGACTACAGCCAGGGGGCCAGCCCACAGCCCCAGCACCAGCTCAAGAAGCCCCGGGTGGTGCTGGCACCAGAGGAGAAAGAAGCTCTGAAACGAGCCTACCAGCAAAAGCCATACCCATCACCAAAAACCATTGAGGAACTCGCTACGCAGCTCAACTTGAAAACCAGCACCGTGATCAACTGGTTCCACAATTACAGGTATGTGATCTCCCGAGAGCCCTGCTCCTCAGGGATTTGTTGGGTTTGCTTTGGCAGGGTGCTGCTCTGCTTCAGCAGACTGTGTCTGCTTCCACCAGCGCCGGGGGGTTGTATAAGATGAACGGTTTCGACAGCAGGGAGGTTCTGACTAACGTAGTGCTAATGCTCCAGACTAATTTTAAGTCATCCCTGAGGAGCAGCAATATTCACATATTGATGTAAGTAGTGCTTTTAAACAGAAAGTCTCGCTTTTGGGGTGGGCGTGGATGTAGAGATGTCCACTGGTGAATATTTATAAACCCACTGCAGTAGGCAAGGCTGCTCTGTCTGACTCACACAGGCACACTCACACGTGTTAGGGGGGTGTTGTGGGTGTTATCCCTGGGTCACTGGGTGGGGGGTACTTGAAAGTGTCTGGATGGCATCAGAATTGTCCTGCTTTCATTGTGTTGTTTTCCTGCATGAGAGCAAAAAAGAGGATTTTCTTTTAGGTCTTGAGCCACTGAGAGCTCTGAAAATAGGCACGGTGTGTTTTTGGGAAGCTCTATAGAGTCATGAAGGACAGAGAACTGATAACCCTGAAATCAGATGTGGCCACAGAGAGGGACTTCTTACAAGGGCATGTAGTGACAGGACAGGGGGGAGTGGCTTTAAACTGACAGAGGGCAGTGTTGGATGGGATATTGGGAAGAAATTCTTCCCTGTGAGGGTGGGGAGGCCCTGGCACAGGTTGCCCAGAGGACCTGTGGCTGCCCCATCCCTGGAAGTGTCCAAGGGCAGGTTGGACGGGGCCTGGAGCAACCTGGTCTAGTGGAAGGTGTCCCTGCCCATGGCAGGGGATGGAATGAGATGGTGTTTAATGTCCTTTCCATCCCAAACCATGATCTGTAATTCTATGATTTATTTCACTGTTGTGATTTAATCATTGAGCTCCACTAAAATGAAATAAGATGTTGATCTGTTCAGTGCCTTTCTCGCTTGAGAGGGAACCTTCTCCACCTTCAAACCACTGAAGTAGGTTTTGGCCTAGAGACAGCAATAAAAAGAAACAACACCGGAACAGCATATAAGAATTATAAGGATTTGAATAAACATATTATCAACTGTGCTTGGGATTGGGAATCTTAATTAGTGCAGCAGACTTTTCTCCAAGATATTTGTGCTAATGAATATTGAACAGGTACAGTTAAGCTACCAGATTTAATACTATTCTGCTTCTTCAGTTGGAGCCAGCAATGTTCCTAATTAGTCCAGACTGCTAAACTTGTTTGTTTTTAGAAACTGCTAACATTTCAAGGGTATTTTTCACTTTAGCCCTTCTCATCTTTTACCAGGGAAGTTGCTGAAGCAGAAGCAACAGAGTTTAATGAGATATCTCAGAAATATTATGCACAACAGTTAAATAATGTTTATAGTAAACTATACAAAATTTTAAAATTATAACCAAGAAATAATCACGTTTACACTGAGTTTCCCTGCCTTGAACTCGGTGCAGACGCAGCATCTTCCGCCGCTCAGAGTTCTCCAAACACAGGCCTCTTCCAGTTCCCACTTCCAGGCAATTATACACAAGTTGGAGGAATGCCTGTGAAAACAACGTTCCCCTCGGCCTGACAGCAAGATGTGCTGTTCTCACTTAGGCAGACGGGCACAGAGCACTGGTGGCACTGGTGGCACGTGTCACCTCCCTCGTTCCCACGGGCTGCCCTGCCCGGGAACGCCTGACAGGCCCCGACTGATCAGCTCGGCCACGGAGGGGAGGTGCTGACAGCTGTATGCAAAATAAAAACACCTCTAAACGAGGGGCTGTGGGCTGCTGGGCAGCACAAACCCAGGTGCTGAGCGATCTGGACCTGCTCCCAGATGTGCTGCTGAGGCTCCAGGAGTTTTAAGAGCCCCTTCAAGCCTGTTTGGAGCCCTGGGTGCTCTGAGCAGTTGGCACCACTGAAAAATGAAAACACATCCCTGTTCCATTCCTCTGTACAGTAACTTTCTTAGCTTTCATGCATAGAGTACTCTTAAATCATTTGTAGGACGCTGCAGAAGAGGTACAGGTTTTATGTTCTGCAAGGGGAGCAGGGTCTGACCGTTCTGCAGCTCATGTGTTGTAAGAAATGGTGGTCTTTCCCCTGTTCATCTTCTCCAGGCCACACTTCAATTTATTTATCTCTTGTATACTCTCCCTCAGCCATTTCTTTTCCAAACTGAAGAGTTTTCATGCAGAAGCAGTTCCACATCTCAAGCCATCTGCTAAATTCTTTAACGTTAATTTTTACTTAAAATAACTTCAGATAAGGCAGGGCACAGATTTGGACAGGTTTGTCTTCCCGTCTCCTGGGAATCCTGTTGCAGTGATGCTTTTCCTTTCAGGTTCAGCCCAAATCTCACTTTTCCAAAGGTGGTTGGATGCAGCAAGGTCTACCTTTATGTCCACCATGGACATGGATGGAAAGTCAGCATTAGTATTTATTTTCTGCAGCAAAAAGAAACTTAAAAAAAAATCCTCAGCAGGCAAAGAAATAATTCACTTCAGAATATAAATAGGTATAAAGGATTTTGATATATCTGTGAACTTTCCAAGTCTGTGGCTTTGCACCCTACCAGTCACATAGCTCTCAAAATATTAAATAAATATCCCTTACTTTGCATTAGTGAAACACATACAGGACACACGAGAGTTCAAGGCTCTGTTGTCTTAAAAATATCACAAAAGAGTGGGAGGTAGGAATTTCTGTCCCACTTCACCTGTGGAAACTGGCACATAAATTCAGTAGGGTCACAGAGGTGATACTTACAGGCCCATCAGGAATTAAACCAGACTTTCTGGAATTGTAATCTAGCGCTCTTGGATCCCAAATTCTGAGCACATTTTTCAATGAACTCTGTGTTGTGCTTGCTTTGATGTTGTCCAGGGAACTGCAGCAAACACCCCAGGAGATGGCTGACGTTTTGAGTTACACTGATAAATGCCAACAGGGTGTGTGGATGTCAAGGCCAACACCTTCCACCAACAGGAATGCCCTCTGGAATTTTCTAGCTGCTGTCACCAGTTCTTCTTTACCATAGGGATTTAATTACTATGTTAATCAGGAGCCAGACTAGATTCCAGAAGCAATATATTGGGTGTGAATTCCGGGGATTTCCCCAGACATGGAACTGATGTTTGGTCAGATACTGGGTGAGGATGTCAGCATTCAGTACCTGCTGGAGCAGAGGTATTTTAAATGCCATGCAGGCACAAAGCTCTTATCAGTTTCCTCTCCTGACTTGGGGAACGTTACAGAAGCAGTGTGTTCTGGATCAATGTCCATGCAGGGAGATTACAGGCTCAAAGAGAGCCTGATAATCGATGTTGCAGGATGCATGCAGTTAATGGTAATGGAAAATTAATGTTAGCACCTGTGGTCTTCTGTTAGGTGAGTAATATTCTCCCAGGGAAAATTACAGACCCCCTAAATCCTTCAAAAGTGTGGAGTCAGCAATACTGCTGAAATACTCGGTTGCATTTCAAATAAGTCGATAATATCTTTAGTTTCAAAAGCTGTATTCAGATGGTGTTCTGCATTTGGCCTAATGTTTTTCCATTGTGTGCTGTCTTCCACAGCACGTTTAAGGAAAAATGGAAAATCCATACAGCTGTCAGTGTTGGGACAGCATTTCCCTACAAGCCCCGTAGCAGTTCCCCATGGCTGAAACCCAAAAGTGTTACCTTCACTCTGAAAGATAAAGTTTTGCTAAACCCTGCCTGTGCCTGTGGTCTCATCCCTGGCCCCGGGTCATTGAGGCTCTCTCTTGGTTATAGATTAGGACCTGAATGGTGTTCATCACCTCTCCCAGATGGAGAACAGAGAAAGGGTTAGCCCAGACCCTAAGGCTTTTTCATAAACTGTTCCCTACTTGTGAGGAATTTGGGAGCTCCTAAACAGAGACGATGAGGGAGGAAAGACCAAGTTAAATGGCAAGGTGCTGTATTTGGGGTATTCTTGCACTGCTCAAGTAGTAGTAGGAAGAGCAAGGTGGCACATTGGGCAACTTTACCCACACGTGGAGTGCATTCATTCCCATGAAATGCTCTGCCTGGCTTGTCACTATTCATGTTCTGAAATTGATTTTTTAAATAAAAAATGAGGCAGAAGTCAGACCAGCTCATAGACTGGCAGCCTGTAAAAAGCCGGGGCTTCCCCACAGCACTTTCATCACAACTCACTTGGTTTCATCCTTGTTTGTCCTTGCTGCCCAGGAGAACACCAAAGGGTTTATCCAGAATTTTTCCTGATTTATTTTTTGTTTAGGCACACTGGCTCATTTCTAGGAAAGCTCTGAGTTGGTTCGTATTTACAAGGCATTTTCTTCTCCTAGAAATGCATTTATTTTCTTTATGAAAAATATGGATACATTTCCCACCAGGGAAATGGCGGAGTCACCATCCCTGGAAGCGCTCCAAAAGCTGATCAGTGTGGTGATACGATTTGGTGGGCGTGGTGGTACTTGGGTAAGGTTGGACTCAGTGATCTTGGAAGTCTTCTCCAGCCTTAATGATTCTGTGAATTCCGTGAGAGGGCGTTTTGAGCGGCATGTCTGGTGTGGGTGAGCGGCTCCGCGTGGCCTGGCAGACTCACATCCCTCTCCCCTGTCCCGCAGGTCTCGCATCCGCCGGGAGCTGTTCATCGAGGAGATCCAAGCCGGGAGCCAGAGCCAGGCTGGGTCGAGCGACTCTCCTTCGGCCAGGAGCAGCAGGGCGGCTCACAGCTCCGAGGGTGACAGCTGCGACGGCGTGGACGCGGAAGGCCCTCCCGAGGGGAAGCCGAGTGGCCCGGAGGTGGATGAGTACAGCAATGCAACCGCAAAGTCTCAGGGAGGGCCCGCCGAGCCGGCTTTCGAGGCGGGGGAAGAGGCACTGCAAGGCGCCAGGTCTTCGGAGAAAGCGGAGCCGTTCCAGGCCGAGAGCCTGGAGGACACCGACGACGAGGGCCGGCTCAGAGCACCGCGCCAGAGCTCCCCGCCGGCACCGCAGCGCCCGGGAGAAGCTCTGGAGACACTGCCAAACTCTGCCACGGAAGGGGATGCCTCTACCTCAGCTGCCTCCACCTCAGTCCTTACGGGGGAGAGCTCCTACAAGTCAAAAGAAAGTTCGGAGAAAACCTCCAGTGTGCCAAGTACGAGCTCGACGCCGGCCGCAGGCTCGCAGAAAGCCAACTCTCTCCAGAGCTTGTTCGGCTTCTCGGAGGCGGCGAGCTCCAGGAACACGCGAGACAGCTCCTTGAGGAAAAAGAAAGCGGCCAACTTGAACAACATCATCCACCGCTTGGAGAAGGCCGCGAGTCGGGAAGAGGCCGTCGAGTGGGAGTTTTGAGATTAAACTGGCCCAACTCGGGAGAGCTGGGAAGTCAAACTGGACCTCTACTGGTTTTATTGTGTTCGCACTTAACCGCCCTGCGGGCCACAGGGCAAAAACGCCATAGGCCAAGGTGCATATAGAAATCAAAAAGGAGCGTTAAGCCCAATTTATGTTTGTGTTTTCGAGGAAGAAAACTGAAATGTGTAGTCGAGCTTTTTTGTACCCTGAAGTGTTTTTATTATTGCCCTAAGTGATTTCCACAATTTCTGGAATAACTCATACAGCTTTGCCTTGTGCCCTCCTCTTTGGTGTGGGGCTTTAAAAAAATGAAAAACGGAAAAAGAAAAGAAAAAAAAAACTAAAAAGAAAAAAAAAAAAAACCTTAAAAAAAAAATCAAACCCACATATTAAAAGGGGGCTTTTTATCTGCCATCTAATGGCTACAGAGCGATAATACACTATTATCTTCTTAAACCAGGAAAAAAGGGGAGATTTTTCAAAAAAAAGAAAAAAAAAGAAAGTTTTTTGTAGCTGTTCAGTTGCCACTAAGAGATTGCACAGTCAACCGACTCTAAACACACTAGTTTGGATTCCTACATATTTTCAAGAAAAGAAAAGAATCTTGTTGTTTGAAACTTTGAATTAAAAAGAAAAAAAACACATTTACTCCACATATTTTTTAACAAAACAAAAAAAAAAAGTCACATCAGGAAAATATCTTAATTTGTGGTAGCTGACTTAGTGTTTTCTTGTAAGTGAAATAGAATATTGACACGTAGTGCACATTGTTTCATAGCTTTAACTGATTCTGGTCTTTTGCAGCCCAGAATTTGTTTAATACACTCCATTTTAGGCCAAATCAGGACAAAAAAAAAAAATCTGAATCTAGGTATTTTATAATCTGCTTTTTAACCTCTAACCACAGAGCACGCTGATCAGACCTCATATCTAGGAGGTTTAGGAGACAACTTAGAAACAGCATGTACTTGATCATTTCACTTGGTTCGTAGTGTACAGGATTTCCTCTCAGCAAAGACAGAGCGCTCCAAAAACGTTGGCCAGTAACATTTCAGCCGCTACTTCGGGGGCGTAGTCCGTATCCCGAATATTCAGCTTGCCTGGAATCGATGGAAAAGCAGTTCACGTGTCCGATTGCTGTCACACACCACTAAGAGGGACTGGAGCTGCCGCAGATCCGGCCCTTTTCCTGCTGTTGGTGGCCATTTACTGACTCTCTTCCCACCACAAGCACTGATTTTTAAATACGTTTTAGTTGTGGGAAGCTTATTTTTTTTGCGTGGATAAAGAGTACATGGCAATGACCAGACGGGCTCTTACCAGGATGGAAGCAGCCCAGACTCCAAACCAAAACCTTCGTGCTCTCGAGTCCCAGTCCAGCCCGTTCTGCCCTGCAGAAATACAGCCTTTTTTTTTTTTTTTTTCCCCATTATTTTATGCACAGGTTAGGGCTGATCAAAGTACAAATCAAATTCTAACTTGTCTCTAACTCCTCCTGTTGTCTATATGTATATGCGTGAGCATAGAGGTGCGTGGAAGGATGTGTGTGTGTGAGTGTGTGCGTGCAATTTTATACGTCTGTGTATTTTCTTACGTACTTGTGCACACATAGAGTGCATTACTGCCACCTTTTTTCAATAAGCTGTTTTATCAGTTATGGCTTCTACAAGTTTGCTAATTTAGACTCCTTTATTGCCATATCTTTAAAACTAACAATAGATGATTTCGGAATATATATATATATATAAATATATATATATATAATTTTTTTTTGCTTATTTATAGGTGCTGTATTTTATTATCTGATTGTTAGGAAGGGATGAAAGGGGGCAAATATTCTTTAGAGGGATAGACTGCCGGCAGTATTGGGTATAATTTACAAGATGTAGTTGTCATACTGTATATTATTGATTGAAGACTTTTTTGACCGTATTGTGTATCATTGAACTTTTGTCTTAGGTCAGCATCTTTTTGATGACACTTTAATGGTGCATTCATTACTTCTTAAGTTTAATTAATATTACTTTTCTGATTTTGGGGGAGGGAGGGATGGGGAGAGGAGTTCCGACTTTAAAGGTATGTTCCCAATATTACACCTCAGTGTGCTTGTATTAATTCATTAGTAGGATTTTTGACTGTAAGATGTGAAACCACATTTCTTGCATGATGTTTTAGAACTTATGTATTTCATTTACAGTCTCTTAACAAGCGACAGCAGCACTTAGCGCAAGTTTTCACAAATTAAGAATCAGTACACTAAAATCCATCCTTTTCCATGATTGAGGAAAGAAGGCTCTAGGAGGCTGAAAGGCAGGGATTTATTTCCGATTTTCACTGCTAGCTGTTTCAGGATCCCTCCTTGGGTAATTGGGGACCTGTGATGCAAAACTAAAACTGAGAAGCGGAGAGAGCAGCTGCCCCTTTCTGTGCTGAGCTGAGGAGAGGATTGGTAGTGACAGACACCAGTGTGTGACAGCACGTGCTGGGAGCGGTTCCGCCTTCCCACCGGGAGGGCCGTCACTCCCTGGGAACAGCCAGCGAGGGGAGAACGGGGTGAAGCAAAGGGTTACCTCTCTGTACTTGTCCAGTGTCCTGGTTTGACTTCCAAAGCACAGCTCCATCGATAAATGCACGTCCTGGTAAAACACACATACCTTGAAACAAGTCACAACGAGCTGCGTCTTCAGCCAAGAACCAAACCTTCTGGCTGAGAGACGCAAGTATTTTCTTATGTTCTTTATTGTTATTTTTTTTTCTTTGTTGTTGTTTGGTTCAGGTTGGGGTTTTTTTTTAATTAATTCTAGGCAATACACTTGCCAGTCTGTTCCTACTGTCCTTGTCTGCTGATTTGAGATCCAGGTGCTGGATGCGGTCAAGTGGTTACTCTCGGCTTTCTCCATAGCGAGGGGGGTTTTTTTTCTGTTTGATGATTTTATTTTTTTTTAATTATTTTTTGTTTTTAAATTAATATTCCCCAAACTGTTCTTGTGCCTGTGTCTATCTGATTGCATTCCATGATGCTTACTGAGAGCTCTGGCTGCACTGTACGACAGCAGAACTGTATTCACAGGTCGCACGCAAATGCAGCACTTAAGGTCAATCTCTCTTCTTAATAAGCAATACGTAAGTGCCTTGAAACATATCTTTTTTTCCCCCCCCCCCCGTTTATTTTTTGGTTTGCTTTTCAGGTTTCCACCAGTTCTTTAGGATTCTTTAGCGTCTGCCCACTTTTTAATGCTGTAATGATTTTTAAAAAGCATATCTGTAGCTTGCCCTAGAGGAAATCTTCCTTTCATAACACTAACTGTTAATTCTAAGCTCCATTATTACATCTGAGTCATGTAATTTTGCTGGATAAAGACAGCATTCAGAAGTCAGAAGTCACTCCATCCTGCCAAGGGTCGTCATTGGGATCTATTATGAAATTAATCAAATAAAATGCTGTCAGTATTTCCTATATTTTTGGCACTTTATTAGTGGCTTAGCTCCTTTTGCTGTTTCATATGTAATGATCTGCGTTGAATGTGGATTAGCCTGCTGAGATGCTGCTGGGGTGACCTGGGCCTTGCTGCCTGGAGTCCCTGTGGGTTCCTTGGTGAAGGGGCAGGGGCAGACGAGCACCCTCAGATCGAGCTCGTGGAGTTTAAGTGATGCTCCCGGTTTTTCCCGGCGTTTAGCCAAGGTCACAGCTGCTTTTCTGTTGGAAAGTAGAATGGATTAGCTTGAACTACTGCTGAGATTCTCGGGTTGGACATGAGTTACCAAACTGGCCAAGCCCCCCCCCAGTGTAGAGACTGAACTTGCAGCGCAGGGTGTGAGCCGTAGTTGGGATCAGGTGCAGCACTTGGAACTCACACTCGGAGGAAAACGTGCATTGGAATAACTTCTTTTACTTCATTAAAAGGACAAAAAGTTGGAGGAGAAGAAATGCCAAAGAGTAGGACAGTGGCTGTCACCCCCTTGGGTCTCTGATTCCGGGGAAAGGGAATGTGTGACGTGGGGCAGAGCCCTCGCTGCCGACGTTTCTTTTCCTGATGGATAAAAGCACAGGCAGTTTTCAGAAAATCCATCATGCCAGACTCTGTTTTTTCCCAGGGTTCTTTAAAAGCATTTTATTTTCTCTCTCTGTTTCCAGTTCCATGCTCTTACTAACACCGTGCATGAAGGGCCAGGGCTGTTTTAACAGAAATACGTTTATATTGCAGTTAAAATTGTCAATTTTTCTTTCTGGATGGTTAGGGAAGGAAAAAAGTGTAGTGCTGTGTTTGCTAAAAGCCAGCAAAGAGTATCCCTTGGCAGAGGGGTCATGCAGTGGGATTGTCAATACACTTCCATTTTTGAGGATACAGATTTCAGAGAACAGGATTGCACATGTTTATTGGCAGAAATGCATTTAATTACAGTTTCTGTTGATGCCATAAAATTGGACCATTTTATTTACTCATCTGTAAAATGCCTATAGAAAGAGCTGCCCTTTAAAGGAACCTGTGTCAGTGCACTCTGCCCATATCATGAATTAGTGAGTCCTTTAGTAATAAACTCCTTGCTGTAATAGGAAAGATCTATATTGCAGCTGAAAAGAAAAAAAGAATGTGCCTTTCTCATTAGCTAAAAGATCTTTGCATTATTTTTATGTAACCTGTTGATATGGGAATGGTGTAGAGCAGGAGGGTCATGAACATGACAGAATTCTATGCAATATTCTCTGATCCAATTACTTAAAACTTGCTGTTTTTCAATCCTTTATCAGGAGAAATAGTAGGTTAAGGAAGTGCATTGTTCTGGTGGTAGTTCAAACTACAAAGCTGATAAATTGACATAAAATAGGATTGAGGGAAATGTGACAAAATAACGTAATGAAATGGTGGAAAATGCTCACAGTGGTTGCAGTCCCCACTAGCACAGCTGCTGTCAGAAGTCTGTCATTTTTCATGTTAAAATTATTAATTTCAGGTATTCTTAAAGCTTATGTGAATAAAAATGCTCCTGGCAAAAACAGGACAGGTTAGAAATCCCCCCCACACCAAAAAAAAATCCCCATTTTGACCGTATATAAACTATGAGGACACATGAGAAACAGTAATTGGGTTTGGACACTTTGCACTTGAATCTGAAATGGTTTATTTAAACTG